ATTACAAAGTTGGTTTTAAGTATCGCGAAGCGTTATTATTTTGTATAGCAGCTAAGTGTCCGTAAAAACTTCGCTGATACCTTCTTAACGTGTTCTGCGCAGACTCTTCGACTCGAGGATATTTAGCAGAATCACGAGCACGGTTTCGTAAATATGCAAATCGAGTACAGTCGAGATAGCGGCGTGCTAATGCTCGGCGTTACCTCCTCGTTCGATGGGTTCCGCTATTTTTTAACACGTTCGCGACGATTCGCCGCGATCCGTGGCGTCGGTAGCTGTCGCCGGTCGCCGGCGACGATAAATACCCGAGTCGAAGTCCTTGAACCAGACGACTCGTCCTTGTGAATTCGCGAATTACGTCCAGTCACGAGTATGGAAATTAGCTCAATTGGTTAGTCGCCCCGAGGTTTCGGAAAAATACGGGTCTGCGCCACGATCGTGGTCCACTTTCGCCTGTTCGTTTTTGCGACGTTAACTACAGAGTCCTTCTCCGTTAATTGAGAACGGAATTATACGAGCTTAACACTTTCTTATTGCGTTTCTTGCCGACCGAAACGCCACGCTGCATTGTTACGTACACGCACGCGTTTACTAATCGCGTTGATAATTAGCGACGTGCTCCGAAATATTCGATGCACCGATCACCGTGCGTCGCGTCGATTCGCGTTACGGCGCATGCATCCCGAAAATTGCGTCACTTTGCTGCAATTGCTGCAATTTTCAAGTACGTACGAATATTTTCCGTTTCAATTGTATTCTATCTGTTTGTAAAAGTTTCGAAACCTCTTTTGGAGGCCGCTTCGTGTAATTGCGAGCGAGAGATATTTCTCGACGATACTGCAAAAGTCGACGTCCACAATTGCAGTTGGTGAAAAGTGAGCAAGTTTCTGAACATTCTTTTTCGAGCTGGACGTGCGCCGATCGCGAAACACGACGCGACACGGTGCAAGTAAAATTATTCCCATTGATATTCGCGCGAAGCAATTATCAGCCGTGAAGGGGGACGCGATGCTCGATTAGGCGCGTATTCAGACGCGCGATCGGAACCGTGCAATCGATGTATCGCGGGGGCCGCCGCGTAAAATTGACTCCGACAGTTTCCGGTTTTCGTTTCTTTATTCAACGGGACGGGACGGCAGTCCCGCGTATTTCTTCGAGCCTCCCCCGCCGCCACCAATAATGCGTTTTCCGATTTTTCGTCGGCGAGCGCCGCTGTGAGTACATACATACTATTTTTCTCTCTCTCCCTCTCTTCCTCTCTCTTTCTCTTTTTCTTTTCTCCGTTTCTGTCTCTGTCCCCTGAATTTCCAGCAGGCTGGAAAATCTCGATGCGACCGCCGAGCCACGGGAAATTGAATTTAGTGCGCCGCTGGTGAAATGAAATTCAATTATTAGTAATACAGGCGAGCCGCGATTGAAAAAGAATGATAGAACCGCCACGGGGAAAAGGAGAGAGATGGAGATAGAGAGGGAAGGACCGACCATAGAGGAAGAGAGCGAGTGAGAGAGAGAGAGAGAGAGAGAGAGAGAGAGAGAGATCGCACGCCTGTGCGTGGGATGAAGGGAACGGTGGAAGGGGAACGACGGATAATAGAGGCGAAACGGCGAACGAAAATTCGTCGTGTAAAATTAATCGCCGACTTAATTGATGGTTTTCCACTAATTAGGCTTGGTAAATGATCTTAGCCGCCAGCGAAAAATGGGAGGGAGAGTTATTGTCCCGATATAAAATCGTCGGCCACGGATTTCCATACGATATTACGCGTCGTTTAAGTCCGATCGATGCCGCGAGGCTAATGACCAGATTTTCGTCCAAACGATAATGCCCTGGAGCTCGAATTTGGTTTTTCCGATTGGAAAAATGGCACAAGTCCGGCTGCGATAACTTCCCGAGAATGGAAGAAGTGTTCTTTAATTTCATCCGATTTGATTTTTAGCCAGTAAGTAGCATCTTTTTCTGTCGTTCCTTTTTTCATAATCCTAGAGATTATGCAATTTTTAAGTCTTACTTCACACATCGAAGTAAATAGATGCTAATTAGTAATTAATAATTACAAATAATCATGAGTTCATCGAAAGAATCTGAAGTTAACGCTTTAGGGATAAGTCAACGCTCTTGCATCTTGTAATTATTGCGTCTGTTTCACTGTGTCCCGATTGTTCTGCGCCTCCTGACTCCCATCGCGCGTCTCGCTCGCCCGTAGTCGCGTAAATAATACGCGTANCACACACACACACACACACACACACACACACACACACACACACACACACACACACACACACACACACACACACACACACACACACACACACACACACACACACACACACACACACACACACACACACACACACACACACACACACACACACACACAGAGAGAGAGAGAGAGAGAGAGAGAGAGAGAGAGAGAGAGAGAGAGAGAGAGAGAGAAAGCACAGGCACACGCGACCGATGTGCTCCTAGCCGAAAATGGCAACCGCGGGGAAGCGAGACGTGACGGGAGTCTGGAGGCGTTGTTTGTTTTTAATCAGCTCGTTTCGTGGAAATCCAGTGTTGCGGCTAACTTGGTGCTACAGTAAATTCTCCCCAATAGTCTCTCAGCTTGTAAACAAAAATGGACAACTTGGGAAGAGGGGATACGATTAATCGAGCCTCGCGGCTCGTTTTTATAGTTATTGATAATCGACAACTATTTCCTCTTCCGAAGTTGTCCATTTTCGCTTGCAAGCTAAGGAACAATTGGGAAGAATTTACTGTACAGTCAAATCTGTTTTTGTGCGGTCTTTTTCGTGAGATTTTTTTGTGCTGTTTTTTCTGCAATCCCTGGTTTGACTGTATTCATATACAAAATATTAAAATATCGCACAAAACCAATTGCACAAAAAATCGCATAAAAAAGACCGCACAAAGAAGTGCTGTAATATAGACTAAATATAGACTGTAGACTAATATAGTAGACTATATATATATATATATAGTAGACTAATATAGACTGTAATAGGAAGGGATCATTTCTGCCAATAAGAAAAAAACTCGTTCATTCAACTTCTGCGAACGCGTTACATCGGGTGAATTAGTGGGAATCGAACTTCTCTCAGCGGACTTTTTTTCGAGAAACGGAAAGTACTTACATCAATCATTCGGTAAAAATCGCGGGTGTTTCGCCGTTGAAGGTTCTGTTATTCTTTGCGACGGACCGAGCAGATAGCTGGCAGACGGCGGCGCGGCACCCTAATTAATTTCCTTAGGCTCCTTTGTACGAATGTAACAAGCAGATTCAACGGCAGATAGGCGCATCGGATCGCACAACATCGCATCGCGCTCGGATAGAAAAGCGTGTTCCGCGATAGAGCTCGCGGGCCATCTGATCGAGCGTAAAGCGAACTTGATAATTAACGAGTTGGCATGGTGCGGCGCGGCGTGTCGACGTCGGAAACAAAAGCGGCGGGGCCCGGCGTGTCTCGTCCGTGTTCTTGATCTTCCTACGCCGAACGAACTTCCGGGTGGTTTGCGGTGTGTTCGCCGCAACGGCTTTGAACGCGAGGCGTCGAGCATCTCTCCGGGCACCGTTAGCCTAGAAGACCTTGAGACAATTCCTTTGTGAACACAGCGAACGGCTGCCTCGGAAGAATAGACCGCGTGCGCGTAGATTTCGATGGTTAACGTAATAGCGACCTCTCGGCTTCCACGTTTGTCGAAAATCTTCGTAGAGGTTCAATGTCGTTTCAGGAACTAGAGCTACGGCGAATCGGAAAAGAGTACCGAGACCGCGATAACATTCAATCTATCCTCCATTTTTCCATTATCCACGGATTTGAAGCTGTTTAGAAATTCTGGTACGATACGCTTCAAACCGTTGTCTAAGTCCAATGATTGAAAATCGTTGTTAACCCTTTCGCTACGGCAGCTCCATCCGCCGAAGTACCGTCACCGAACGGAAACTCGCTCCGGAAATATGCACAGTGCGCGTGGTTTCTGTATATATGTTGTTCCAAGTCTTAAATAATAACTGTGCCGAATGAAACAATCGTTGCTCTAATGTAACAAGTATATTTACATTTTTAATTTAAAAAGACTTACAAAATTATAGGTAACATAGGTATTTATATAATTACAAAGCCTGGCGATTAAATGTTTAATATAATTAATAACGAGACGAGAATTATTAAAATATAATAATATGTAAAAACTAATAATATAATTCTGTGCGATATATTTGAAAGCAAGGATCTATACAAAGGCCAACGTCGCAATCTTTGCACTCGTACCGCGAATCCGTTCTTTTATCATTTTTGCTATAAATTACACATCTACGTCTTCTGTGTACACTTCGTTTCGATGCCGCATATATGCGGCGCTCGGCGCGAAAGGGTTAAAAGAACGGAATACCATTTTGTAGCTTCCATGTTTAGCAGACTCGAAAACTTTATCACAAGCCTTATTTGATACTATAAATAAGAAATGTGTGAATTATCTTAAGGTTAAATGATACACTCCAATTCTAGTTTCCTAGAAGCCAGTTGAAGACATCAGAGTTCATCTTGATCAAGTTCATTAACCCTTTGTCCTACGATTTGTTTAACAGCCACGATGATCGAGACTCTATCTCTAATAAATTCTTAGTTACGCGAGAAACGCGTTGACGTTTAAATATTAATAATAGAAGAGCAGAATTTTTTATTTCAATTTAAAAGACGCGAATAACGTCCAGATTTAGTGAATCATGTTTGAATGTTCATAACAATTTTAACACAATATTAACAATAAATATAAAACAAGATATTAAATATGTAAAATAATGTAAGATCGCTACTTGATGATCGATGGGACTTTTTCGGGAAATTTTTCGGGTCTGTTAAATCTAGCCTCGTACCCCCCACCCCCCTCGAAAACTGATGACAGTTGATAGGGGACCACTGCGGTCCGTCGAACAAAATGCTCGGCGATCGTTCGGAATTCTAATGAATGATTACGTGTTGCTTGTTTGTTTCAGAAAAACTGTTGAACAGCGAGGGCCGCGAGCTGCGACGGGCCCTCTTCTCCCTGAAGCAGATCTTTCAGGTGAGTTTAGACTCTCGAGTTGGCGATACCTGCGGGATCGAGCGAGCGGACGCGCACGCGGGGCGGATAGAGACAGCGAGCGGAAGGGAACGATAACGAGAAAGATGGAACGGGTGCTGTGGAAACGGGGGGAAGGATAGAGCAAAGGAGGCAAGAAGAGGAAAATATATTAGATAGGCGGAGAGGGAAGGGCAGGGGCGAAGATGGGGTGGGAGGAAGGCTATTTTTACGCGAAGCTACTCGCTCGACGAGTAAATATTTGCATGGCGGTTCGAGCGAGTGCATTTTCTCTCGTTCCTTCTCCGTCGCATCGCGCCAACCCCCTCCTCCTCCTCCCACGCACCACGTTCCAGCGCCGCGTCCCTTTCCCTTCGTCGTCTCTCGATAACCGCGACCCTTTGTCTCGCAAATTCGTTATTCGTCGACGCGAGGCATGCACCTCGCATTCCAATCATTTTCGTCGGCATCGTGCTCGACAGCTGCGAATACTCCTGGCTGCGTCTACACGCGTAATATCTGCGTAATATGCCTGCGCGATTTTCTTTTCGCTGGGTCTGTCAGTGGTGGAGAAAAGACGGAGTTGTTGACTGGAAAGCGTCGCAGGTCGCTGCGATTTATTAACACTATGCCGTCCGCAGATCTTAGATATGATATGTTATTAACCCGAGAAAGATAACCTACGTCGCAGAGGCGCCTGCGAAATAAACATATTGCTATCTAATTTTTCATAGAGGTCTAGTGATTTAAGTTTAAAATTACTTAAAATATAAAAAAATATAATATAAATGCATTTTATTTTTACAATAATGCCAAACCTTTAAAATGACTAGATTAACTTAAATAAATATCCATTGTTAGTATAAAATTGACGCCTTAGAAAAGCATGCGCCTCTGAAGCGTATGGTTATCTTTTACGTACGTTGTCATATGGTTATCTTTCTAGGGTTAACGTAACACGAACCCGTACACACAAGTGTGATTATAATAAAAATAGCGTCACTGGCCAAGAGTGGATTACTAAAATTCTTTTGAAGAGCGTAAATGACACTATACAGCTGTCCTGGAAAGCTCTCGATTCTGTTTTACAACATCGTTCAATTAACACTATGCCGTCCCTTAGATACGATTCTTTTGTTTGACGCCGCCATAATAGCTTGGAAATCTTAGATTTTAAAACAAATTTCGAAGATGGCGGTAATATAAATTCCTAAAATTAAGAAGCACGATGCTATAGTTAGTTTGCTGCCTTTTATCACCCAAGAAATATAGTTCAAATGTTATTTCAGTTTTTTAAAATGGCACCAAAATGGTACCACCGGCATACGACAGATAGTTTTTGCATGGCACCAGCGTGGTGCCACCGGACGGCATAGTGTTAACATGAGGTGGTAGCGGTACCGTTAGCGGTATCGTCAACAACGCCAAAATGAAAGATTGCACACTCTGTCCACATCGTACCAGTTCCGCAGTTCCGCTTCGCTTTGTTTTGGTACGATGTGACTCACTGGCTAAGCAAGTCTGGACCGGAACCTGCCAGTATGAACGCATTTGAACGGTGCCGCGGACGGCATGCGCGGTTCGAGAGCGGCGTGCACAGTGTGAACACTCCAATGTAAATCAAACGAAAGAATGTCTCGACCTTGGAGCACGACCCGAGCCGGGCATGCACGTGTGTTTCGACCCTAAAGCTGCCGAACCGATCGTCGTAATTCAGAGTTAGTTAATTCGTAAAACGAAAGTCGAGGGATTAAGATTTGTCACGGTGATTAACGAATTCCTGTACGATCTGTAGGGATTGATTTAAAGAAATTAGAACACAAACTGGAGCATAGTGTTAATAATAATTCGAGACACCTTTGTCGTAGAGTTGCTTCACAAATATTTTCTCCGTCATTTGAAGAGGTACATTTTACACGAGAGCAATCTTTGCAGGATACACGTTTTTCTCTCTAAAGAATGTTTATAAGTTCAGGTTAAATCATTTATATTTACTAGAGATCTCTGTGCAGTCTAGCGATCAGCAATCAATTCTTCTCAAGTCTAATTCTTTGAAGATTTCAAAAGCTCGGACTCTTAATCGGTAGAAGTAATCATCGATATACAGAGCCGCGCTATTATATTCACTTTTATAACCATATTTTCCATCTTTTAGAAATATTATCCCGCTATTAAGACGTCACAAGCATCGAGGTTCTTTCGAATCCTAGTGCCCTAGAATCACATGGATATAAGATTCAATTTTCTCTGGTTCAATGAATTATCTTGACCGATATGAAAATGTCGCGCGGAAGCTTAAAGAGCCGTCTCGCCGGATCGATTTTGCAATATCTTGTCGGACGAGAGTGTTTTCTCGTTCGTAACGAAATGGAATTCCAGGTCGAATCGCGGTTTCGGTAGCTTTTAATTAACCGAGAATTGGTTTTTCGACCGGAAATAAAATGAATTTGACTCGCGGGTCTAATCCATTTTAACTTTCCTTTGGTTGCTTCGAGAAGATGAAGGAAACTCCGGAAAGAAAGCGTGTTTATTCGACTTTCTTGGCTGTTCTCTTTTTGTTGTTGTTGTTGTTGTTGTTGTTGTTGCCCTTACAATTAAATCTCGCAATTAGCCGACAGAGAAGGATCCGTTGCTCGGCGGTGTTCGAAGTTGAAAATTCCACACGGAAAGAAATCCCATTAGACCGGAAGCTATCGCCGCACCTAAGTGATGGATGAGTTTATTGGAGAATTATATTAGAATTGTGATGAATGGAGCTGGTGTCTAACGCGGTGCTCGATAATCTGTTGTTCGCCCGAGCTGACCCTAATTGTTTCGCTGATTAGCCAGTTCGACCGGAAGTTACCTCTCTTTCGCTGGAACACGCCCACGCGTTGGCAGCTCCAATAATTCGCAAAGGCTGGATAAGCGATCGCTTCGTTTCAGCAATTTTCTCCGCGTAGATCGTTCACGAATTCGGTTCTATTAACACTATGCCATCCGGTGGCACCACGCTGGTGCCATGCAAAAACTATCTGTTGTATGCCGGTGGTACCACTTTGGTGCCATTTTTAAAAACTGAAATGACATTTGAACTATATTTCTTGGGTGTTAAAAGGCAGCAAACTAACTATAGCATTGTGCTTATTTAACTAAGAATTAAGTACGAAAGTTCTTGGATGACATATCTTAATTTTAGGAATTTATATTACCGCCATCTTCGACATTTTTTTTAACCCTTTGCACTCGAATGGTGACTCCGAGGCACCACTAAAATTTGTTATATCACGTTTCAAGATAATTTTTATATTAAAAAAAAAAATATATATATATATATATTATTATATTATTCATATATATTCATATATTATATTATATATATTATTATATATTATAATATATAATATATATATAATTTTAGATTTTAACCCTTTGCACTCGAAGCTATTTTAACTCTAAATATAAAATATTATATATAATATAATATAATTATAATATATTACATTATATATATTATATATAGAAATATATATATAGAAATATTATAAGTTAGAAAAATGATTTTATATTTAGAGTTAAAATAGCTTCGAGTGCAAAGGGTTAAAATCTAAAATTTCCAAGCTACTATGCCGGCGTCAAACAAAAGAATCGTATCTAAGATCTGCGGACGGCATAGTGTTAACATTCTCCCTTGATCACTTTCGTGATCCTTGATCGTTCCCTTCGATTTCTAGCCGTATAAAACACTTCTTCCCGCAGCATTGATCGTTCTCCGAATATTAACAGCACAACCACGCGAATAAGTTTCCCTCCGGCTCGAGTCTTTCCGAATCAAACGAAGAAAATCCCATTCTGCGTAAAGCCCCGCGATCTAATTACAAGCAACAAAGCGGTTTCGTTAAAGAACCCCCGTCCGCGTCGCGTTTGAAGACAACCGGCGTCGGGTTCTATTTACGATCGCGTTCCTTTCGAGCGACGAAAATCCAGCGAAAACAATCCTGAAATTCGTTCGCCCACGGATCCCTTATCGTTTCAATTATCAAGCCGGCTAGCTACGAAATTAATTGCAAACCAGATCCGCCATAGTTCCCCATAGAACCGGACCGCGACCGGTCTCCGCTCCTCCCGTGCTTCTTCTCGAGGATCGGCCGGGATTTATCGCGCAGGCATCGCCGATGCAACGTTCAATTTCGCCCTGTTAATCCGGCCGGGCTAATCGAGCGTGCGTACCGAGGGTGCATTTCCGGTCGCGGAGTCCGGTCGCGATCGGTTCCTCCCGAGATCCAGAGATCCCGAGATCCCGAGACGTTCGCTGGATCCTCCGTCGCTGCGGCGACCGCTCTGGGAACGAGCGGGTTTAATCAAACTTGGCTAGATTTTCCATTATGTCCGCGACTTCGCACCCGTGGCGGCCTAACTAATTCCATTTACCTTATCCGGCCTCCGGCTGGCTTAGGCGGAGACGCCGAGAGATAAATCTCCTCCGGGATCGGATATCAGCTCCGGCCCGGCCCGGCTCGTTCTTTCGCCATCTCCGTTCGCGTTTCCATCGGAACGTCGGCAACCGATCATCTCCCGGCCTTAATCGGCTTTTCTCTTGTTTCCGCTAAACGCGTCTCTCGCGCCAGGAGCCGAGAGTCGGGGATCGGGAATCGGGAGCCGAGGCTGGGACACGTCGCGCTCGAAACATCCTCGGTCTTTCGAACGCGTCGGGCTCGAAGAAATCCGTCCGAAATAATTGGATTGTTAGGCAAACGAGACGGGTCCTGCCCCTTCTGTTGCCTGCGCCCGACCGGTAAACATTTTTCTAGCTTCGTCTCGTCGCGAGACACTCGCGGTTGGGAGCAAGAAAAAATAGTGAACCTTCTCGGGAAATGTTTTGCTGTTCTATAAGCTTGACAAGCGAAAATATTATTATATAATAATTATTATATTATAATAATATTATTATATAATATTATTTTGTGGTATAGGTTTTATTATTATATTAACGTAATAATAAATTGGAGACTTCTTAACGATCCCGGAAAGCTTCAAAAAATCTATCCATATATCTAATCTATATATCTTAATCTATACCGCTAAATAATTATATAATAATATTTTATCTAATATATCTTAACCTATATCGCTAAATGACGTTAGTCTGTACCGCTAAATAATTATATAATAATATTATTATAATATAGATGTAGATTAGATATATGGATAGATTTTGAAGCTTTTCGGGATCATTATGAAATCTCCAATTTATTATTAATATGTCTTAATATAACAATGTGAATAAACCCTTTGCGGGCGAGGATTTTGTAAAGTACCGAAAATACTTTTCTCAGAGAATATATAAATATAACATATAATATATAAATAAGTATATATAATATAGCTTGATCTTGATTAAAATGTGCATGATCCAATGACATGCCTGCAACAGCCGGAGTCAAACGTGCAATCCCGACGTCGTCAGTACGTCGACGTTCGTCTTGAAATGGTTAAAGCTGTCTCTGAAACTATTTGTAGAACATAAATGCACGGAGATCCACGTTCTTATCATTAGCTGATGGCTTCGTGAAATAATTTAGTTGGCAAAAAATAATTGGAAGATTAAAAGCATTTCAGAATATGCGGTAATAATGTCCAATCTCTCCGCAGAAATCCTCGGAGAAAGAAAGAGCCTTCTGTTTAATTTCCGTTACTTACAATTGGCGCAGAAAATTCTCTACGTTCCAAAGATCGCGATTAAAATGGTGCGGCACTTCCACAAATTGATGATCCTAAATACTCGTCGATGGACACGCTGATCGTTGGATGATCGTTGTCCATCGCGCGGCGTATTAGACACGCGGGCTGGTTTAGCATTTCAAATCCGCGGATGGACACGGGTTCGGCAAACGGCGCAACCCGTCGCGATTAGTAACTCTCCGTCCCGAGTTCGGGAATGAATTAGACGCGCGACAACGGGACGGGCGTTTACATAGCAGGTATCTAGGCGTCCCGTGGAGCGGACTCGACTTACCATAAACTTTGCTTTTGCAGGAGGACAAGGACCTGGTGCACGAGTTTGTGCAAAATGACGGGCTTGCCTGCCTCATCAAGGTTGGCAGCGAGGCCGACCAAAATTATCAAAATTACATACTACGAGGTGAGTATCCTGACAATTTGCCGATAGATTACAACTTGTTTCGTGCATAACGTCGCCCCGACGCGGCGCGGCGTTCTAATAACGTGTACCTGCTTCCCGGCGAACGTTTCGAGCATTTTCGTGATCCCGGGTATAAAAACGTTCAAACTGCCACCATAAACGTTTACGAGCGAAAAATGTTATGTTCCCGAAGAGCGCACGGTGCTCGATACTTGTTACGCTTAATTATGCCGCGAGGGTAAACGCGTTAATCGACTTGACCTTAAGATACGCTGTAATCCCGATTACAAGATCTCTGGGAAAAGAGATTGCTCGGCGAACGGGGGCCCGAATATAGCCGGAGAATTCATTTCGAATGATGCAGCCGATACTTACTGAATTTAAATTGTGCAGATCGTTTTATTGCAAGCAGTTCGTTCAGTTTCTTTACGCATCTTTTTCATCTGTTTCTTGAACTTGAGTCAAAATGGACTCAGATTCTGTTACACCAATCAGCAATCGATATCGATTTAATCTAGATTTAGCACTTATCCGTCCTTAATGCGTTAAGCGCGGAGCCGATTTTGCCGGGCTTTCCGTCGGTCCCATGCGCCGATGTCGTCCCTGGGGACTGACGCGCTTAACGTGTTAATACAGGGTTATATTTTAACTAAGGCCACCTAAGACCATCTAACTAAGGTCACCTAAATATTTCCTCTAATTACGGGGGTACAAAAAAATTTTTTATGCTATTTCAATCTATTGGAAATAGCATAGCTATTTGGAAAAACCATCGTATTGCAAAGAAAATCTTTTTTTCTACGATTATTTTTTTTCCAAAGCTTTCAAGGTCATCGATGTTTTTTTTGCGTATAATTGTATAATTTTTTTTATTGCATCGAGTGGCTGATATAAAAATATGTTCAGTTATGTACATTATTACCACCATTATTACACCAAAAATTAAATGGAAATGACAAATTTTTGTCTATCGAGATTTTAGAGATGAAAAGATGTCGTTCGAGAATCTGTAAGTGTAAATAAACATGTTTACTATCGCAAAACCCCATCATGAAATTTGTAAGACTTTCTTACGAACCTATTTTTTAAATTGTCAGGATAATTTTTGTTTCTTGTATGTCTTCATTTACTTTCGTTCCCAGATTTTAATAACGGTACGATCAAATTTCGTTTCTGACTCGCTGTTATAGCATAAAAGAGGTTATCAGCATACCGACATAGGTTTCTAGAGTTTTATAAAATCCTCGAAGGATGTTCGAAGAGGTGGTCGTCCGGGGAGCCAAATGAGTCAAGTAGAACGAAGGGGTGTCAAGGGTGTCGATCTTGGACAGACACAAAAGAGGGGACTGACGAAAGAGAGGAAAGGATGTTAGGAACGTTGAAAGAGTGATGGGGGTGCGAGAAGGGTGGTTAAGGACGGTTTCGGAAGAGGCAAAAAATTGAAGAGGGGTCAGCTTGTGTGTGGTAGATTGTTGATACGAAAGAAGTAGAACAAGTCGGTAGCCAGCAATGCGGTCGGTCAAGCTGTCAAGAAGAGTCCGCGAAAGGGTACTCCAAGGAATTAGATCGCATGAAAAAAGAATGAACAACTCGATGCAGCAACGTTATTCAAATACTTCACGTGTCCGGACCTTATCTAATGCTATAACGATACGGTAGAGCCCTCGATTATCCGAACTTCCAACATGCGAATTCGATTCAGAGCACTGTAATTACTTAATTAGTCGATTATCGGAACAATCATGGCCCCTTAATTGTTTCGGATGATCGAGGTCCTACTGCAGGATTAGGTAAACGAATTTCGTCGGAACCTCGGAAGATCCAGGAAAGTTGGAACAGTAATCACTGTGCTAAACGTTATACGGGGTGTCCTAAAAATGTCTCGCAATCCGAAAGTGGCGGCTTCCTCAGGTCATTTGAAGCAACTTCTTCCTTTACAAAAATGTTCTCCGAGGCACCGTTAACGAGTTATTAACGAAAAACAATGACCAATAAGAATCGAGTACGGCTGACGCGAGGTGGCCGAGTCAACGGCGCCAGCGGTCGAGGCGGTCGAATCCCAGCTCAGCTGACGCGAAGCGACCGAACCAATGAGCGGAACTGGGCTTCGCGCGCTGGTTGACCGGGCCGCCTCGCGTCAGCCGTACTCGATTCTTATTGGTCATTGTTTTTCGTTAATAACTCGTTAACGGTGCCTCGGAGAAAATTTTTGTAAAGGAAGAAGCTGCTTCAAATGATCCGAGCAACCCGCCATTTCCGGATTACGAGACATTTTTGGGACACCCTGTATTTTCGTGACGCAACAAACATCGCTCGAACACGATTGGAAAGCCTAAGTACAATAAATTTTCCCTGTTAAGAATCCAATGTATAGCAACGTCGCAATCTATCGATTATTACCATCGTAAAGATTATGGTAGGAGAAGCGGTGACCGTTGCTCGCGAGTTTTGTCTAAAACAGATGATACTCTCCGATTGCGACTCGCTCTTAGTCTGTAAGCGTGCATCGAGAACATAGCACATAATAAAGATTCTTTATCACTTAACACATCTTTCATTCCACTGAATATTTAACACTCCCTAATTGACGCTCAGATTGTGCACAAAAGTGGAGAATTTGGGAAGAGGAGATACGATTATTCGAGTCTTGTGGTTCGTTCTTTACCGTTATTTAGCCGTTACTTTTTTCATAGTTGCCGTTATTTTATCAAAATAATCGTATCCCCTCTTCCCAAATTGTCCATTTTTATACACAATGCGTCGATTACGGAGAATTTACTGTAGTTGCCGAAACGGTCTCGAGTCTCCAGATTTGTATGACAATGTAAATCAATTTTTGACACGACAGCGCTTTGTGATATGACAAATTAATACTACATATATCTAAAAGCTTCAGATTTTTACGGTTCAACGGTATCGAGATCTATTGCGTTCTATTTAGTTCGTGATGCACCGTGTTCGTTTTCAGTTCGATTTTTGCTGCGAACGATTCGAGTAACGAGTCTAAGATAGGTCTTAAGACTTGAGATTGCAGGACTGGAAAACTTCGAGAAAACGTTTTCCCGTTTATCGATAAATTGCGAGCGCTTCGTCGATGGTGGCCTCGTAGAGTCCGGCGGAACTATCGCGGCCTTTTATCATCAAAGGCCTAGCGACAAGGGTTAAACGGACCGGTGACATCGGCATTCGATCAGCGTTCGCCGGAAGAGCGAAGGCGAGGCATCAGACAGTTTCTGGGAGGTGGGTTAGCGTTCGGAGCCGAGATTTCCCGGTAGACGCGAGGGCGTTGTTTGTCTCGTTAGCGGCGATGAGATAATACGGCCGTAATGCGGGTAACGAGAGAGCCTGGGACATGCTCTCCCATTTTCGCGCGTTTTCCGCGGCACGCGGCGCTGATGGAACACGCGTGCGTTCCCTTATGGTGCACGCAGGCAAACTGCGCCGTTAACGCGCGTGTTTACAGAAGCGGAGGAGCCACGGAAGCAGTAAGCAGCCTCCAGTCTCCGCTCGCGAAACCGCGACGCGTTGCAGATTATCAATGCACCCTTTCATCGCGCGCAAGCTTCGAGTGGCTTCCTCCGCTCACTCCGCTTGGAAACGCACGGCTCGGCACGGCTCGACGCAGCCTGGTCGAGTGGTTCGTAAACCTCCCTGGGCCGAGCAACGCATAAGAAGACCAATTCCGCGCGTCCGCGTCCGGCAGTTCCGCGCGCCGCAACCCACTTGTAGCTCGGCTCGACACTGTTCTCTTTCGCTTCGATAACGAACAGAGGCCGGACGGCGGTCGCAGACTCTCTCCCTCTCTCTCTCTCTCGTCTTCGATTCCGCGAGACTTCGAGTGCATTGTGTGCCGAACCAGTTCCCTCAGGGACTCGAGAGACCGGCCGAAACTTTTCGCGGTAAAAACGGTCCCGGAATCATGGGAACGATCCACGATCCACGTTCCAGTATCCTTCATCGCGATCCTATTTTGCATGTTGTGCAAAAAATAAGGCATGGATAAACTACATATTATTTCGGTTCCGAAAAATTAATAAATATTCTTCGAACGTTCTAAAGTAAAGCGTTTTTCTTAAAAATATCACTTTTACGTAGTAAACAAAATCAGGAAAGTTCACGCTTCGTGACTTGTTCAATGCTTCGAACGCGGCTCGAGTCCGTCCCGACCTTCCGTCAAAGCCTCGTGCTGCGGGCTCTCGAACTTCGCGCCGTCACCTCTCATTGGTCAGTGTTTTTCGTTAATAACTCGTAAACAAAGCGGCGGATTGCATTTTCGCAAAGGAAAAAGTTACTTAGAATGACCTCAGCTACCCCGCATTTCCGTATTGCGAGACATTTTTGGGACACCCTGTGGACATAAGGCATAGGATATAGACGATTCAGTGCGATCTAGCATTGTTCGATGAGTTTAACAAACTTCGAACATGTTGCTCTCGATACCTCGTTTTATACCCTAGATGGGATCTCGATAAAAAGAAGTTGAAAGTAGTCTTGATCTCTACTCCGATGCTAACTATCCGTATCTTCTTCCTCGCATACCGATCCTGAAACTTCTGCAGCCAATTATAAATCTTGTGTTCCAGTTTCTTTAAATCAGTCCCTACAGATCGTACAGGAATTTGTTAATCACCGTGACAAATCTTAATCCATCGACTTTCGTTTTACGAAATAACTAACTCTGAATTACGACGATCGGTTCGGCAGCTTTAGGGTCGAAACACACGTGCATGCCCGGCTCGGGTCGTGCTCCAAGGTCGAGACATTCTTTCGTTTGATTTACATTGGAGTGTTCACACTGTGCACGCCGCTCTCGAACCGCACATGCCGTCCGCGGCACCGTTCAAATGCGTTCATACTGGCAGGTTGCGGTCCAGACTTGCTTAGCCAGTGAGTCACATCGTACCAAAACAAAGCGAAACGGAACTGCGGAACTGGTACGATGTGGACAGAGTGTGCAATCTTTCATTTTGGCGTTGTTGACGATACCGCTAACGGTACCG